TATATTAATATTTTTAAGTTTATAATAATTAATTTATTTTATTAATTATTGTTTTTTCTTTTTTTTTTTATTAATTGAAAAATAAATAAGTTTATTTGAATTACTCTCATGTCTGATAATTCGATTTGTCCCGTTTGTGGAGGGAGTAAAATTGATAAAAGTGATATTGGGCAATTAGTTTGTCTTCAGTGTGGAAATATTATAACTGCTTATTCACTAAAAATTGATAAAGAGTTTGAAAATAACGACAAAACAGACATAAGTTCAAAACCCATGCCTACAAGAAGAATTGTTAAAACAGGAGCTGGACTAAACAAACGTCTTAGAATTATAAAGAAAAAAATTGAATTAAAAGAAAAGTTGAAAATGAGATGTGTTCTAGAAAAGAGGGCAGTGTCAAGAGATGATTCATACTTTACTTCTCTTCAAAAAATTTCTTATGTTTATTGTGAGGTAATGGCTAAATTTTATGAAGTTGATGTACAAGAAGCTTTAAAATATATTCGTGAACAAATTATACAATTTAAAGGATATAGTGAAGATCCAACAGATTTAATCAATCAACGACTTGCCAAATTAAAGTCATATGAAAATCAATTAAAAAAATATAAAATAAAGGATAAAATAGAAACGTATCTGAAGAAAAAGAAAGTATTAGCTGAGCATTTAAACAAGAAAAAAGACTTACAAATTAAAAAAGAAGAGTCACTTAGTGGAGAAGAATCAGAAAATATAGACAAGTTACTTGGAGAAGAGGGATTACAAAATGTAGAAAAGTTACTTAATGGAGAAGAATCAGAAAATGTAGAAAAGTTACTTAATGGAGAAGGATTATTTAATAAATTAAATGAAGAATCACCAGAAGATAACGAATCCAATTGGTTAGAACAAGAATATTTGAAATATTCTGATGTAACAGAAAGTCAAAATACCATTAATACATATTCTGAAAAGGAATATGAGGTATTTAAAAATAGTTTGATTAGTAGTATTGAAGATCCATTTATTAAAGAAGCACTCATTCGAAATATGAATAGTAATGAACTCTTTAAACAATATTCAAAACCTATAAAAAGGTTAGATGAAAAGTACAAATTAACAGGAGATATTATAGTTGATACCATAGAAAAATACAGAAGAGGAAAAATTGTTTTAAATAAAAAGCTTTCTTCAGAATTCCCATTATTCTCAACTTATGTTGCTTTATTTCGTTGTGGTCAAAAAATTCCATATCAAATATTTTTTAGAGATGTTGTTAATCAACGATTACCAATATTTAGTAATTTGACAATTATTGAATCGCTTAGAAGTGATCATAAATTTGGTAATTTCATTTTTAATTCATTTGGTCAATATATGGTAGATTCATCTTGTTTTACTCGTAGGTTTGAGTATTGGAATTTTCATTATAATATTGGTGGACCTTTTTTATCTGTTGAAGAATCAATGAAATGTTATATTAATGAATTAGATATTCCAGAAGGGTTTTATGATTTAGCAATGATATTATATAATTCATTAAATCAAAGTCATCCATCAGTTTATGCTTTTATGTCATTTATATTTCTGGCAGTTAGATTTTTAACACTTGGATGGGATAAAATAGATGATAACTATTTTGCTAATAAATATATACACAAATATAGTTATTGTTGTGGAAATATTTTAGTGTCAAATTGTCATGAAATTGAATTGCTTAATGAACGAGGTAAAATTGAACAACTTATTGATGCAATGACTAGTTCTAATGTTAGTTTTCAAAAGAAAATACAACAAACACAACTAAAAAATGTTCCTCTTTATCATATTATTGAAAATTGGAAAAGAAAAACTCGTGGATTAGAAAATATTTCTTTTAGAAGTTTAGATGATGTCTTAGAAAATGAATTGGATCAAGAATTTATTAATGATGTTGAGTCATTTGAAGGAAGTGGTGGTGAGTCAGAAGGTAATGCTGATATTATAGAACCAGACATAGAAGGAGAAAGTATTAAATTAAGTGAAGAAGGAGAAAATGATGAAGACATTAAAGGATTAGTAACCGGATATTTTATTCAAGACTTAGAGTCTAGTATTTCTGAGAAAAGATTAAGACCAGTTAAAATAAAGAAAGAACTAAAAGAAAAAAGTAACATTATTAAAGAAATAAAAGAATGGTTTGGTATTGATGAGTCTAAAGAAATAGAATCATTATTTAAACCAATTGGATATAATTCTATTAACAAATCAATAGACAGTAATCAAACCGAACAAAATATTAATAATTCATTAAAAGATAAAGATATTTCTTCAAATAAACATTCAACTAAATTAAAAATTACTAAAATATTAACTAAATGTTATTCTTCTTTAATTGCATCAATTTCTTATGAACAAACAAGAAAAAAAAGTTATATTCCAAGTCCAACTAACGTTCATGAACAAGAAAATCTTTTTAGAGCATTCTTTGATTTTGATAATTCTAACCCACCTCCTTCTTTTAAAATTTCATTTAAACCAATTCAAACTGAATTTGATGAAATTACTGTAGATGAACAACAAACTGCCATGTTATCTGTTCGTTCTTTAATGGGAAAAGAATATTTTCAAATTGCAGAAAGTTTTGAATATAAACCATTTGAATTTTCATCAGTAGAAATGATATTCTTAGAGGTAATGGCAAGAAAATTAAGTGTTTCATGTGAGACATTATTTAGCAATGTAGTTAGACGTTGGTATCAATTAGAAAAAAGTTTTATATATCCATGTGTAAACATCAAAAGAAAAGATCTTTCTCATATCTATCATTCATCGGAAAAATTAGTTAAAACAGTTTTTGACAAATAATTAATTAAAATGTTTTTTGAATTATTAAAACATTTATTCTTTTTAGTCGTTCATTTTATCATTAAGTTGTTTTAAAAATTCAATATTATTTTGTACTTTTAAGACAATTTGTTTTCCATTTACTTCAATAGTACAAATCTCTGGATTTTGTTTTTTTGCCGAAACTTTTTCAATATCTGTATATGTAACTTCTTCTAATAAAAACATCTCTCCATCTCCTGATGGTTTTTCCGCTACAAGCATATCTACACTACTTAATATAACTAAACATTTCTTCCAACAATCAACAGCATCTCCACTAGCAACATTATAATCAGCTTCAAATGTTGGACTTTCTTTCATTAATTCATCAAAATAATTTGATTCTTCTGCTTCATCTTCTTCATTATACTCTTCATCAAATGTAAGTTTTTGACTAATATCTCCATTTGGTATTTCTGTTGAATCAACATTCAATGGTTTAATTGGCATATCTAATATATTTGGAAGTGGTTGAATTGGAATTGCATTATTCTGAGTTTTGTTTACTGAACTGTTTAATGAATTGGTATTAGAAGATGTTGATGATGAAGGGTCAGTAACTGGTTCAAGACCTAAGTCTAATAAATTAGGGATTGATTGATTTGAAATTGGTTGAACTGGCTCAACTAACCCACTTATTTGATTAGTTCCTTTTGTTGATGAAACTCTCATTTGTTGACGTTCTTTTATTTCAGTGTTACTTTTAATAGGGGTTATTGTTTGATTTTGTTGAATAGGAGTATAAGGTTTATGTACTATAGGTTGAGAGTCTTTTTGAGGAGAAGGTTGTGTATGTGAATTATTAGATTGTTGTGCTTGGTGTGATAAATTTGAAAAGAAACTAGTGGCTTTTTCTGTAAATTTTTTAGTACCTTCAGTAATTTTCATTGTTAATTTAGCTAATTCAGGAGGAGTACAAAGTGGACATACAGAAGGAATGTGATTTATTATTTCAAATCCTGGGGTTTTATTCATTGACAGTTTATGATAAAGATGATAACCACTTAATAATACACTAAGTCTTTTAATACCACGTTTAATAAAATCAAGCATAATCATTGTTAACTCACTTAATGAAGGTGACTGTTGAAGGGTTTTACCTATTTCACCACAACCATAAATAACTACATGAGTAAATTTTTTTGGGTCTCTTAAGCATTGAACTGGCTTTAATTGGAAAAACTTACTAACATATTTCTCATCTTCTCGTTTAGTATAATCAAAATTTACTGCATTTCCAATATTTCCTCCTCTATACATTTCTTGAGTACGACAATCAATAAATAAAACTTCCATTCCATCTTTAATATCATTTACTAATGAATGAGGTTCAACTGGAAGAGCTAACGTTGATCCTAATGATTGTGAATACCATCTTTGAAACATTGCTTCATTTCTAAAACAAGAAGACAATAAGAGTTTAAATGACGTTAAAGTACGACGTTCTAAACTAGCAGCACGACAAATTACAATACGTAAGTCTTCAGAAGAAATACGTTTAACTTTAAGTAAAGTAATAAGTTCATTCTTTTTAGTTTCTTTCATAATATCATCTTTAATTTGAATTAAGTAAGCAACAACAGCATAGTAGAAAAGATATTTATTTGAATTAAGAATAAATTCATCCCATAATAAAAGAACATCATTTAATGTTTCTCCTGTTGAGAAAAGAGCATTATATAAGAAACGATTTGTATAAAGAACAGGTTCAACTCTAAAAGAATCTAAACAATGACATAATTGAGGGTCATGGTATTGAAGTAAAATATGCATTAAACAAAATAAGCCTTTTTGAATAGAAGGATATAAATGAGTAAAATAAGGTTGTAACATATTTAAGAATGAAAATACAGCACCTAATCTAAATTCTATTGTTTCTTTTGGATATAAATAATTAAAAACTAAAGCAACAATTACTGTAGGAATAAAATTTGGAGATGTTTTAGGTTGAATTAAAGTAGTTGCAATAGAATAAGAATCTTTAATTAATTCAGCTCTTTTTGATTGACCAATAACAGAAATCAACTTATTTACTAATGGAGGTACATCAGCTTCTACAATAGTTAAATTAAGGCGGTTAGGTAATTTAATTGGTTTCACATCTAATAAAATTTTCCATATTTCTGCTCTCATTGTATTGACTAAACCAAAATGTAAACAAAGTTGCTGAAGCATGGCAGTATCTTTTTCTTCAATAGCGTTTTGAAACAAAGAAAGGACTCTAATGAATTAATAACATATTTTATAAAATACAAAAAAAAGATATCTTATAAAAAAAAAATTGAATAGAAACAAACCGTTGTGAGTAATCCATTGTTCTTATTGTTTTTTAATTAATTATTAGTTCTATCTTTTAAATAAAAAATACTTAATTTATATTATACTTCCAAATCTTAACAGAAACAAACAACATACAAAAATCACTTCTTTAAATCAAGAAATAATAAAATAATCCTTTCATTTTTATTATTCAAATTTTAATACAATAAATCGTTTTATTTGTAAAGGAATATTCGTTTCTAAATTATTTAGTCCATAAATTTTATGAAATTCTTGTGTAAACGTAGCAATAAAATGAGTGTCTAATACCATGCCATCTTTTATTTCAAATATTTTTTCTGTGTCTTCTTTAGACGGAATTCCAATTATTTCTGTTTTTCCAAATTGTACTTCTGAAATTTTTGGAGAAATATTTTCTTTATAAATTACAAATGAAAAGAATTCATTTCCTTTTTGAATGTATTGAATATGATTTGAATTATATGACTGTAAACATTGTGAATTAAAAAATCCAAAACAATATTTATCACAAATTAATAAAAATACAATATTTTTTTGTTGATAAATATAATGTGCTAAAACGTATGCTTTATTATCTACCCATAAATCATATTTACTATCCATTAATATCTCTTTACATCTTAGTCCAGTCCAATTATTAATTATATGAATATTATCTCTGATAAATTGTAATTGGTTATCTTCATCTATTTTTTCAAATAATCCCATCTTTATAAGAAATATTTTTAATTAAATGAATAGATCTAATGTTTTAAATTTGTAAATTTTATAAAAAGGTTTTGTATCAATTATTTTATACAATTCTTTAATTTATCTTCCTTTTTATTCTTTATTTTTTTATTTATTAGAAAAATTATTTACTTGTTATTTTAAAAACATGTTAATTAGAACAAAAAGCTGCATATCTTTCAAATGAAACTGCACCAGAAGACTCTATATCCATGGTTTCAAAAATTGTTTTAATTTGTTCAGAAGATACTCCAAATTTTTGTGCTGATTGAAGAAATTCAACTAAAGTTAAAACACCATCTTTATCCAAATCCATCTCATCAAATGTTTGTCTTAATTGTTTACTCATTTGTAAGGACCAATTGAATAAAATAAGTTTTAATTATCTGTTTAAATATTGTATTATGTTATCAATTTTTTATTATACTACCATCTATAAATAAAACTATCGATGGAATGTGTCAAAATAAACTTCCAAGAAAATACTAATTTAAATTTATCTCTTTAGTGATATAATGAAAACTTAGAGATTAATTCACTACAAATAAAAATTGTAAAAGTAAATAAATACTGACTGACTATTACAATTAAATTGTTTAGAGTATTTCTAATGCTATAATCTATAAATATAATTTAAAAAATCTTAAAAAGAACTAAAAATATAAAAAGTTTTTATGGTAAATTTTATAGTTATTCTATTCTTATTTATTTGTTATAGTAGTTCGTTTCATGTATATCAAGAGATAGAAGACAGTTGGTATTTTCAAAAAGCAAATGAGAGTAAAACGATATTTAGTATTGATTCATTTGAAATAAATAATCAAAAAGAAGTATCAATTAAGTTTCATGATGATTTAACAAATAAATTTATTATGAAATTATATTGTTTTAAACAAAATACTATTCGGTTTAAAATAAAACATATTAGTGGTCCATACCATTTTAAACGATATGAATATCCATTTCATTCTGTTTTAAATAAAATACCATTTAATTTATTAAATAATAATACTAATTATATTTCACTTAATTGCCAATCAGTATCTATTCAAATAACTAATTCTTCATTTCAATTCAACGATATTATTATTGATTCATTATTGTTTAAATCAATTAAATATAATAATCATACTGATAATTTTAATAATCATACTGATTTTTTAATTCATGGATTAACTTCAACTGGATTCTCTCTTCATTTAAAAAAATATACAAAAATGTATGGTTATCCAAGACATACACATTTTGAGTTATTCCCTTCACAAAAACCATATCGTTTATTTAATGTTGATCCTTTTGGTTATAACCTTACATCACCTAATTCATTAACAGGATCTATTCCATTCATTCTTATGAATTCAAATGGAACATGGAATGGTATTCATCTTAATAACCCTACAGAACAATTTATTACTGTTTCATCTACTGGATTTAGATATATTACAGAATCTGGAAATATAGATGTTACTCTCTTTTTAAATGACTCTCCTTTATCTATTGTTTCTCAAAATATGAAATTAACAGGATTACAACAACTACCTCCTCGTTGGATGTTTGGATATCAACAAGCAGCAGAATGGTATTTCTCAAATGATACTATTAATGAAGCTATTTCTAAATTTCGAAAAACTAAATTACCATTTGACTCTTTATGGCTTTCTCCATATGCTAATTTTAATTTTCAATCATTTTCAATGAACATTGATATCTCTCAACAATTTATTGATAATGTAAATAAAAAGAATATTAAATTGGTATTTACTGCTCTTCCATTTATTAGAACATTTTTACTTAATGAAACAACATCATTATTAAATGGTAGTTTTTTAATCAATGGAACATTAAATCATTGTATTTGTAATTCTGTTGGATGGATTGATTTTACAAATAAACAAGGATATGAATGGTATCGTTTTATGTCTAAAATATCACCTGTATTAACTTTATGGGCAGACTATAATGAACCTTCTTCTTATTTTTCTAATGAAATGACACTATTCAGAAATGCTCAACATAAAATATATGAGCATAGAGAAATTCATAATTGTTATAGCAATTTACATGTTCAAAGTCTTTTTGAAGGAGTTAATCAATCAAATTATTATCCATTTATATTAACTAGTGGATTCTATAGTGGAATTCAACAATATGGAGGAGTTATATTAACTCAAACATCATCAAATTGGGATAATCTTTATTCCATTGTAAAAGAATCATTATCAATGAGTATTTGTGGAGTGTCTTTTATTGGAAGTGATGTTGGAGGTTTTTATGATACTGTTAATTCTACTCTTTATCTTAGATGGTTACAAATACAAACATTCTTTCCTCTTTTTCGTGGTAATGGAGAAATAAATGGTTATAGAAAAGAACCATTTATGTTTATTAATAATATTAGATTTATTAAATTTGCTTTTTCTTTGAGATATCAGTTTATTGATTATTGGTACTCTTCATTTTATCACTCTCGACTTTCAGCTCTTCCTGTTATAAGACCTCTTTTTTTAAATTATCCAAATGATCAAACAACATATTCTATTGATACTGAATGGATGATTAACAATGATTTATTACTTTGTGGAGTATTTAATGAAACACAATACCTTCAAGTTTATATACCAAAAGGAATTTGGTATAATTACCTTATTGATGAAAGAATAGATTCAAATGGTCAATGGTTCAATATGGAGTTGGACTATGAATTTATTCCATTCTTTGTCAAAGGAAATACTATCTTATTATTAAAGAAATCAAAAACAATATCAACTATTCACCAACTCAAACAGAAATATACTATAAATATTTATTTAGATGAAAATTATCAGGCATCATCAAATTGGTATTGGTCTGAGGGAGAACAACAACATGAACCTTTCTATAAAATGACAATGAACTTCTTTAATAATTCATTTAACTATCATATTCACCCATTTGATGAAATGGGTAATCCAACAACATTTAATCCTAACCATCATAATTATTTCAAATGTAGTTCTATTGTTATTTATGGATTATCTACTTTTCCAAAACAAATATTATTAAAAACAGAAAATAATATATTAGACGTACCATTTAATCATTCATTAATTAAATTAGTAATTAATCCCTTACATTTAGTATTAGACCATTCTTTCAATTTACTTCTAAAATATAATTGATTCAATTTTTATAGCAAAAAAATATTCAATTTCAATCAAATTAAAGCATGAATTTAGACTTACTAGTATCATCAGGATTACTTTTATCGATATTACGGAAGTAAATATATTCAGGGTTGACAGTATTCATTGTTCCTCTTTGAATAGAACGTAATTTTAGAATGAACCTAGGACCTAATTCATCAATTAAACACTTTACTGGACCTTTAGCACGATCAAAGTTATCTTTTGCTTCATCAAATTGATAAATATGATGTCTGAAAAATATAAAATCTCTTTGAGAATGGAAAGTGACTACTCTCCTTCCTTTAAAATTTGGTTTTTGACTAAATAAAGCATTTAATTGTCTTGCAACCATTACACCAAGTCTTGTTTGAAAGCCAGTTGTTAGACATTCACATGGAACGTGCCATGTTGAAACTGTGACATGACCTTTTATATCTTTAGGTTTCATTAAATTAAATAATTTGAAATGAAAAGAAGGACCACAAGGCATATGAATTATATATAAATCAGCTATTAAATAAGAATAAAATTTTTATGAAAAATATGAATAAATGTCAATAAAATAACAAACTACACTCCTTATGATTATCATTACAAACAATAATATCTGTATAATCATTTCTTTTTGCATAATTAATAATTTTATGCATAGTACTTTGTTTTCTTTCAAAATATTGTGCATTATAAAATATTCTACTCAATAAATAAGCAAATTTCTTTGTGTTAGAATGTGCTGCAATTGTTGAAGTAACAATAATTTTTGGTTCTCTGCCTTTATAATAAGCTGAATATTCATCATTTTTAATTTCTTCAACAGCCTCTTCATCATTTTTGAAATCAACAAATGAATCATCTTTAATACGTTTAGTTTCCAATGTTTGAGGTTGTTGTGGTTTAATTTTTCCTTCTTTAATAAGTTCTCTTCTCTTTCTTCTTATAGAAGCCATTTCTTTTTTCCTCTTAGACAATGTATTTAGTCTTCTAGGTTTCTTAACTTGTTCTTTCTCACGACTATCTTTCTTTCTATCCATAATTGCCTAATAAATAATTTAATTTTTTTTAGTTCTTTTTATTAATAAATTTTACTGTTTCTTAAATTTGACTATAAACCCTGTTATCCTATAAATATTACATAATTTGACGTTTTGATGAAAGAAACTTAAAAATATACTTTCATCTATAAATTAAAATCTTTTAGTTAACTGAATAAATTGGCTTAATGTTGAATTTAATACATTAACCCATTCCTCAAAATCTTCACCATCTGGAAAGAAAAGGTAATCAATTGTTGTACCACAATGAATTTCAAAAGTTCTTGGTTCTTCACCTGAAGGACCAAAACGTTTAACATCTAAGAAACGAATTTGTTGGTATTGTTCCCATTGTAAATAGCGAGTTTTATTTTTTGTTAGTGATAATTCACAGACGTTCTGGATGTAACAAATTCTATCATTAAACAAAAAAGCAAATGATAGTGTTGTTGGTGAATTGATTAATAACCATCCATAATATAAACAATATCTCCATGATTGAACTAAATTTTCTGAGCAGCAAATACAAGAAGATACATCAAGTAAACAATCATGCATTTTTGATTGAGTATTTACATTTGAAATTAACTTTTCAAACTTAAGTTGAATCTCTTCAAGACGTTGATATTCTGGATGAAAAGATGAAGTATTTTTGATAAGTTCTTTAAGTAGTATTGGATATCTCATCAATCGTTGAACTGGCCTAAACTAATAAATACTTATTTCTTTTCTATCTATCCATTCCACAAAAATTATCAACAAACATAATAATAAGGTCATTAAATGATAATCCATTTAAATCTTTAATAATACTTTGTCTTTTAATAAATTCTTTAAATCCTTTCACTTTAAAAGCACTTACCAAACTTCTTCTTTGTGTTTCAAATAATAATGTATATTCTGCAAGTGGTGTCATAAGCTCAACACATTTCACTAATGCATCTCCAAAACAACTATCATACTTCCATCTAACTCGAATATCTTCAAAAGTATTAGCTATTAAACAACCATTTAAAAATACACTTTCAATTCTTGGTAAAATACTTTTAATCATTAGTAATGGTAATATTGTTGTTTCTGGGTTTTTTGCTCGTTCAATCAAAGGCTCATTAAAAAATACATCTAATTTTCTCATTGAATCTACAAATGAAACTTCTGTTGTACTAAATTCATTAATAACATCAAATCTTCTAAATACACTACTTTTATTATATACTCTTCGAGTTAGAAAACCTCGACAATATGATTGGATAATTTCAAGTCTTGGAACTTCCATTGAAACTTACTAACGTTAAATGATTATAACTTTTTAGATTTTTTATTTCTTTTTTGCTCAGCTTTTTTTTTAAAGTCTTATCATCCTCGTGAAAAAGAGAAGATTGTATCAGATAATGAAATATAAAAATATATTATGTAAGAATTAATTACCTGCAGCTGCTTTAGCCTTTCTTAAAATTTTGTTTTTCATCTTCTTTTTAGCCATTATAGCAAGTCCTTCAATCATAAATGGATATCCCTTCAATTTAAGACACCCCCCTGGTTCCATAAACAAATCCATTGCAACAGAATCAGCTTTTGGAGTTGCACTAACAATAGTGATCAATAAATAAAATAAAAGAAATAATATCATCGTTATTATATAGTAATATTATGACTTTTATTAGTTTTTTAGTTAATTTTTAAAATTTTGTTTTTTCTTTTATTATTTATCATATACAGCACAAGAAACCACAAAATATATCTCTTAAGATCTCATCTAAAAATCAGTGAATGAGTGATTTTGTTGAAAAGAAAGAGAGTCATAAGAAAGAACGATGGGAAACAATTGAACATATTGTTAATGATATTGTCAATGAAGGTTCAATAGAAGAATTGGAACGAATGAAAGAATATATCAAAGAAAAAATTAAAGAATTTCATTATACCCAAGAAATAAACAAAGTTCAAGAATTGTATTCTGACAAAAAATATAATGGTCCTACAATTGATCCTCACCATAAAAGTGATGATGGGAGGAGTTGGTTTAATTATAAAGGAAATAATATTGTAGTTATTGATTTAAATAAATATTCATGTCCAGATGCTAACCCAAACACAATTCAAGAATTTAATCTTAATGGTAAAGTATATTATGTCACCTTTGTTTATTCCTATTCTTCCATTCTTACTCTAGACAAAGCTGACCAATTACTTATTTGGCAACCACCAAATACTCATATTATGAAAATTAACTTAACAATCCCTTTTTGGTGGAAAGATGACTTATTTCCATATATTGTTGAACACCGGTCATACTCTCCCTCCAATGAATCAAATGAAAATTCTTCTCTTTCAATACAAGATTTAGTTGATTCAACATTTCTAGTAAATTCAAGTGAATTAGAGGATTCTATTGATATTCCAATACTAGTCCCTATACCTGTTGTTAAAAACCGGTCTTGTTATTCTGTTTTGTATTATGATTATTGGCCTTCAAATTCTTATCAAAATATATTACAATTCATCATATCGTCTAATCTTTCCTAAGTTTTCTTTAAACTCTTAATTTTAATTTTATTTCTTATAAAACTTTTCTTTCTGTAAAGTTGTAACAACTAACAAACCACCAACAATCAATCTTTTAAAATGGTGAGGGTAGTAGGAATTTATTGTATCATAATTATAATGAGTAGCAAAAATATCAAATTATTTTATAAAAACAAAAAGAAATTTTCTAAAACATTCTTTATTTAACAAAAGATTGAATTATGGGTGATTAGGGGTAATAATCCCCGTCTTGAAATTCTGAAATAATGGAAAAGGGAATTATTTAGAATAGGTAATTCAAGAAGAAGTTTAGTCTTTAGTTCTTCGGAAAAACTTAAAATTCATTTTCATGTTGTTTAAAACCCTTCAGAGTTATACATTTGTTCTCGTTGGTCCTATGTCAAGTGGTAAAAGTTCATTACTTAATTGTCTTATTGAACAAAAGAGTTGTTCTTATTCTTCTTCAACAGTAACAAATAGATTAGAGGTTGTAATGTTTGAGAATGAAGAAGAGGCAATTAAATTGGAAATATTAGATACTCCTGGAATGAAATTATATGAATCATTATCACATTTATTCTTTTCAACTACTTCATGTATTCTTATTGTTGTTGATTTATCAGAACGAAAATATGAAAAACAGATTGATGAAATCTTTGCCTCAATGCAAAAAATACAAAATTCTTGTTCTTCTTCTGGCTTAACTTTTTCTTCTTCTTCTGACTCTGATTTTAAGTACGGATTTCCTATGGTAGTTGTTGGTACAAAATCAGACTTGGTTTCACAAGATGACTGCCAATCTTTCATTCAAAAAGTTAAAGATAATGGCTTTATTAGTTTCACTTGTTCTACAAATGATATAGAATCAATTAATAATGTATTTAATGATTTACTCGAAACTGATTTTGTTCATCCTCAACAAGTAAAAAAAATTCCTTTAAAACAAAAGAAAAAATCTTGGAAAAAAGTTAAGACTCAATGCGTTGTGTTATAAGAATATGTAATTATTTATTATTTATACATTTTTGTTTCTTTCATTGTTTCACTTGATATCTTCATGAATGTTTCTTTCTTTTCCTATAAAACAACTTTTATAAAATTTTGTTATTTTCTTTCTTTTCTCTATTCCTTTTTTCTTAAAATAATTTTCTTATTATTAGAATAAGAACTTAAAAATATTCATAAAAACTTTAAATTGTTCTTGTTACTTTCATTTATCGGTATGAATCAATCTTTCCTTGATTCAAATAATCAAATATCAATATTAATTCCCTTTAATAACCCAGAGACAAGAGGGTTTTATAGTATAATTGACACTGGAGATGATATTATTTCATCCTTTAAAAAATTAATCAAACACCCAATCTTAGCAATCCTTGACTTTTTAACTTCAGGACTTCTTTGGAGTTTTCTTTATTTGATCACTTCGCTCTTTATCAATGCATTATTTCAAGCAATAACAGATGATTACTATATTCGTTGGTTATCAAATCACCAAGAAATTCCAAAGTCATACACTCTTCCAGATATAGGTACTGACCTTCTTCCTTTTATTGATATACCATATTTACCTTCTTATGTATTGGTTGGTGTTTTAACAGTCACTTTCTTAAGGTTCTTCTTCACTCCATATCGTACAATCATTCTTAAAAGATTTTGTTTTCTTCAAGGTACAATCTTTATTCTTCGTTCTTTGAGTATATTTGGAACATACCTTCCTTCTCCAGTCCCATGTACAACCTACAACAAACAACCTCTTTTCATTTATGCAATGAAAATATTTTCTGGAACTCGTTCATGCCATGACCTAATGTTTTGTCCTCATACTGCTGCATTATTCTTTTGTGCAATGTTTTGGTATCACTACATAGAAAAAGCTCCATTAATAAATTTTAAATGGTGTTATAAAGTTAGCCCTTCTGTTAATGAATATGGCTATCCACTTCGGTTTACAATAGAAAAGGGTATTATTTGTATTATTACTGCTATTGCCTCACTACTATTTGTTATGTGTAAAAGACACTACACTTTTGATATCTACATTGCTGCTATTATTTCAGTACTTTTGTTTAAATTATACCATCACTATATTCTCCATATTAATACGAGAATGAATTGGTTCAATGCTTTCTTACGATGGTTTGAAGATGGGTCTCCAGACATTCCTGAACTTGGAATGAAACAAGTAGATCATGATAATTAGAATTCAT